TAGGTTTGATTTATACGATGAAAGTTTCGTATAAACTTTCCTTTGTATGGAAGTTGTTTCTTTTTTACTCGAGGGAGACAGATCCTAAGAAGCTCGATGCAAAGCCCGTGCGGAGTCGTTTGCGGGGCGATCTCATTCTCGGATGTAAACGAGAGGAATGAGAGCGGATGCTCGTGAACCGATGGGCTAAAGAGTGAGAATCAATGGGATCTATTCGATGAAAATACTATGAATCAATGGGATCTTATTTTACCATTTTGTTGTTTTTGATTAGAGGAAGGAATGATGCGATGTTAATACTATGTAATCTCTCTTTATTTGGTACGATTGGTTTAGGAATTATCAAGCTTTGCTTTAATTTGATTTGCCTATTATGGTGGACATGGACAGAGGATTGGTATCGTGGATTTCTTTGTTCTATGTTCTATGTTCTCCGTGGGACACAAATGACTTAGTTAAACATTGGTATATAGTAGCTCTAATTGGTTTATATGAGGCTCAAATATTGAAAATTAATCTTGAAGATGTTTATGTTGGATTGTGGAGAATATCGGTTTTCTGTGTTTTCGGTGAAGGGAGGGAAGACACAATTTGCAGGTTTGAAATTAGGTTATAGTTGCTCAGACGATAAGGGTCCTAATATTGAATTATGTAAGTGCTCAACAGTTCTGCAATTTTTGGTTTCGTTTATAGTCTCTTGGTTTCAACTAAATCTTCTGAAAAATCCCAGAAGAAGCAGGTCAAATGGTTGATGTCTTTAATCTATGCTAGGTTGTTCTGTTTACAGTTTGCTGGGAACAAGGAAGACTGTGATGAGAAGGAGAATTATAAGATTACCTTTCTCACTTAAGAATTGCTATGAAAGCAACAAAAATGTTGATCTCAGTGGATCAGTTCTTAAACTATTTCCATCGCTGTCAGCTGGTGGAGGAATTTTCAAGATGCCTTCTTCTCATTCTGTTACACCTATGATTGGTTGGCCAAAGCGAAAGCTATGGTAGAGATCTTCTTAAGTGCGCTTCCGGAGATATTCGTAATATATTTGGTGGTGCCTCCGACATTGCCATAGGAACAAAGTATACCCACTTTGGGACATATCAAAGATTCTATTTTGATTACTAATATTCATATAAAGCTTTTGGACGCAGAGGTTTTAGATGTTTTGGAGTTCTCTACGCAGAGAACAGATTTAAATTTTACTTACTTATAAGAAAGTTTGTGCATTGTCCACCTCCTTCCGTTTCTGCAGATGTTTTACATAAGAGAATATTTGTGTGCATGTCCTCTAGGAATCCAGACATCATTTTTTTGTCTCTTCAAATCGTGTTCATAAGATGTCTCTTCCATAAGATGCTTCATCAGAATCCAGACATATGATGTCTCTTCCATAAGATGCTTCATCATATCACGTGGCTGATTTTCAAAATTAAGATATTTTATATTCATAAATACATAATTTTCTCAAGTTTGTATTTTATTTATTTATAAAACTAATCAGATTTCTCGTAAACAACTTTAATAATCTAACTGAAAGATAAATCAATAAAATTGAATTTGCTAACATAACAATATAACAATCAATAGAAAACAACATCTTTCGTTCTGCTTTCATTACAACAAGAAGATAAATTAAACGAAGAAAATAACATCTATCATAGTTTCAAAAGAAAGAGAAAAACATCTTGAGATCAACGATTTGGTCTTCAGTGCTTCCTCATTGATTTTTGTCGCAGTGACTCCTCATGAAGAAAATTCCATGGCACGGATCATCGTGGAATAAGGGAATGGCTCAGCTTCGAAGGGAGCGATGCGCTCTTCAATCCTGTTGAGGTTGCGATGCCTACGAAGGTATTGTTGTTGCCTTTCTTTTGAGACCACGGTGTCATGATCTGAATGAGTAAAACGAATACGTGCCCCACAAGACAACGCAGGAAAAGTAATTAGGAGTAAAACGATGATGAAAAAGCTGATTAGTTTGGAAACTTTTGTCATAGCTAGTAGCTAGGGTTTTTTTTTTTTTTTTGGTGTAGAAGATAGTGAGAACGTTCTTGGGATTAAGGTGTATGTCCCTTTGTTTATATAAGATTTGATGAGGGAGAAAAAATATAACTGACCCTACTTTTCCTTTTATACAAACCGACTTTAGCTAATTATCATAAGTTCAAGATAAATCTCAAAATTCATTACTTATCTTGCAGGGGATTTTTAGTTTTATTTTTCGCCTCACTTACTTTTTCCTTTGGCTTAACATTTTTTTTGTTCAGTTCACAAAAATATAGACTAACATATAAATAGATAAGGATGTTTTATCTATTTAAATTGTGACTCTCTTCTGATACATTCTTAAACAACATTACAGTATATTTCTTGTTCACGAAGACATGAACCACACCACCGGTCCACCTACAAGTACAACCTCATCAGAACACATTAGGTTCTTTTCCATCTAACTTCCTGGTCAATAGCAGGATAAAAGGTGTACGTAGATTATTATTATTTTTTTTTTGTAAAAAGCTGTAATTTACATAAATATCATGATATGATTTTTTTGTCTTCCGTAATATTTGAATAACCAATCTAATTTATTTACATAAATATCATGATATGATTTTTTTGTCTTCCGTAATATTTATAAACTTGTCCCATTAAGAATCTTAGTTTTATACATTCACCAAGGGTAATATTTTAAAATAATTTTCTAATTAATTAATTAATTAATTAAATTTTTTAACTAACTAGTATTCTAATTTTATAAAATATTTACCTTCATATAAATAATCAACTAATTCGTAAAAATGCTACTATATAATTATGTCAATTGTTAAATATATATTGATGAAATCTTCATCCATTCTATAAATATTTATCCGAATTTTATTATTTTGTTTTATACTAGATTAGTTTAAATATATTTTACATACAGTTTCCTATTTACTATAAATACAAATAATCACAATTCTACAATAAATGATCTTCATGAAAAAAAAGTAAAACATCTCAAAATTTTATTTTCAAAAATATTTTTCTATCATTTAATTAACACAGGAAAAGCTAAAACAAACAAAAAAAAATATTTCTTTTTCAAAATTTGTTAAAATAAAAATATGTTCTTTGGTTTTACGAACAGCGAGACGTCTCCTAGTGTGATATGATTTATCAACGTCAACGTCGCATATGTCCAACACATTACTTTAGTATTTTATATTTGCTTCGTATTCGGTCATAGTTATATCCCCCTGGCTCATGATAATCATAGTTTAAAGCGTGGAACATCTCCTGAGCTATCATAGTGTTATCTGAAATCTGTCTCTCAGCAATAAAGGTTGACTGGGTCTCTGAGATCCTATCTGGAAGGAACTTTTTTAATCTCTGGCATAAGACCTTAGAGATAATTTTGTAGCTAACATTGCATAAGCTAATAGGGCGTAGTTGGCTCATCTGATTCGATTTCTCCACTTTTGGGATGAGGCATATATTAGTATCGTTTAGACCAGATGGTACCGTACCCTCAAATAGGAATTGATTCACCATACGAGTTAAATCCTCCTTAACAATATCCCAAAATTTTTGGTAAAACAACGCCGTCATTCCATCTGGGCCTGTGGCTTTTTCTGGATGCATTGCAAAAAGAGCCAATTTGACCTCCCACTCCGTGACCGGAGCTGTTAATGTCGCATTGTCCGATGGGAAAATTGTGGACGATACCTCTGAGAGTGCTTCCTCAATCTCCTCCGGATTTGATGATTGAAATATATGTCTAAAGTAATTGGTAGCAATGGCTACCAATCCTTCCTCATCTTCCACAACATTTCCATCTGCATCCAGTAATTGAGTGATCCTATTCCTCGCTCTCCGTTGCTTTGTCAAGGCATGATAAAACTTGGTGTTCATATCTCCTTCTCTCAGCCAGAAAACCCTACACTTTTGCTTCCAGAATAATTCTTCCGTCTTAAGAGCGTCAGATAATTCCTTGATAGCTGCTGAAATTTCCTCAGTAGTAGCATCATCCGATGAAGATAGACGATCTACTTTTTCCTTAAGCTCTTCCACGGTTTTCTCTGAATTCAGATTGTGGAGTCGCTTTCATTCACTCAATGCTCGTCGGCAGCTCGCAATATGATCCATAATGCTTGCATCTGGTGGGAGATCTGGTGACTTCCAACCCTCAAGAATAATTTCTCTGAGCTCCTCATTATCCAGCCATCTCTTATCGAACTTAAAATTCCTAGCTCTCCGAGGTTTCTTTCTCAGTATGTCAGCTAAAATCGGACGATGGTCCGATCCCCACAGTCTCATATACTTCACTTTGGAATGAGGAAATTTGTCATGCCAGTCCTCATTTCCCACAGCTCTATCTAGGCGGCATCGAACTGTCGTCCTCCCTGCCCTATTTCCCACCCAAGAAAGCATATTTCCAGTAAAGGGAAATTCTAGCATACCACAGTCACTTAACATTTGCCTGAAAGGCAGGAAGGAATTATCAGGGCGTTGTCTACCTCATTCCTTCTCTTCGTGACATGTAATTTCATTAAAGTCTCCTATCATGAACCAAGGTCCATTTCTTGTTGTTGAGAAACGCGTAAGACGTTCCCAGACTAACTCTCTTCTTTCTAGTACAGGATCCCCATAAACAATTGTCATGTAGATTTTTATTCCATCAATGATTGCCTCAATATCAATCATTCAATTATTTGAAAATAAAACATTAACTTGAAAATCATCCATAAAAAACAAAGCTAAACCTCCGTTGAGTCCAAGTGGCTCAACGGTAAATAAACGATCAAATCCTAAGTCGGCCTGAATGTCTTGCAACATCAGCCTCCTATTCTTCGTCTCAGAAAGAAACACTAGTCCTGGGCGATGTTTCTGACACATCTCCTTAAGGCGTCGAACTGTAAGGTCATTTCCAATCCCTCGACAGTTCCAACTGATTGTCCTCATGGATGATGCTTGGATGGGTTTTTGGATCCCATCAAACCATCACCATTGTTTAGTCTCCCTTGAGTATTTTAGCTCTAGGCCGCAAATGCTCAGCCTTCTGTCGTGATGTCCTATGTGTCGAGGTCTTAGCCACTCTCAATCTTGGGGACCCTCGACGGAGGAAACCCGGCTTCGTTACCAGACTACTTGATGAAGTAGCCGATCGACCTGACTGTCTCTTACTTCCCGTTTTCCCCTTTGCGCCAGCTTCTGCACCTTTACTCTCCTCCGCACTCAACTCCATAAATTCTTCGCCCAAGAGATCATCCTCAGCATCATCATAAACCTCTTGATCCAGCATCGCTACATCCTGTGTTTCATCTGTTTGCATATCAGCCAGAGCGCCTATGACTTGTTCCTCCTCGTCAACTTCCTCATCATTCGCAAAGGACAAAGATCGTGATACACTCCTACTACGGATGGTTACATTATCTTTCATGGATGCTCTTCGTAAAGGCGGAGACACAATGACACTAACCAACTTTTTTGTTAGAAGACATGAGTCCCCCATAGTATCTCTGTCTCCACTCTGATCCTCAACATCATCTTGGCGCCCTACTAAAGACGCAGGCGGCACTTCAGACTGAACTATAGCTGCAGCTTTATCAAGAACCTCAGCTTGTCTCTCCATACGCATTTCCTTAGTCGGTGGCTTCTCACGCCACACTCTGTTTGACCTTCGCTCATATGGAGCAAAAGCCCGTCGGGATCCATGATAACGGTCATCATATTGCTTCTCACTCCGTCCCCTTATAACCCGATCGAAGTTTCTGGTGTAACCGCGTTCATCCAAGCGGTCGTGTGCAGAGTTCGTAGCTTTACTTCTTCCAGCGTACCCATTATTATGGTCTCTCGCAAATGAGCGAGATGAAAATTGCACAGCTGAGTGATCATGTTCCTTGCGTACATTGTGATGATCAATACCTTGATCCCTACTCAGCGAGGACTGAGATCGGGGCAAAGGGAGTGCTCCATACTGTTTTGTACGATCCTTATGGGATACATACCGATTATCTCCATCTAGTGATGGCTGATCTTGAGCAGGAGGTAGTTGAACTCTCGCAAAAACACCACTCCGTTCATGTTCAAACCTCGGTGCTAAAGTGTTTGTCGGACAATAACCCTTCTCATGTGTCATTAAACCACAAGTGGTGCAGTGTTTAAAGAGTAAGTCGTACTCAATAGTAATGGTTACTTCCTCATCTTCCGGGCTAAGAACCTTCCTCTTAAACTTAAGAGGTTTCCTAGAGTCAACATGAATAAGCATTCGTCCCTCTGTGAGCTCAATCGTATCCACTTTTCCAAGTCTCCCTCCAATCTCTCTAAGATTAGTGTCTGTCCATAGGTGTAGGGGCATCCCAACCAATCGGACCCAGAAGGGGATAATCCAAGGATAGTCACCATGAACTATTGGTTCCCATCGCACCAAAACAAACATGCAGAAATTGTAGTGGAAAGGACCCTTCGAAAGAACGAAGTTAAGATCCTCTTCATTGGTAAAGTTCAAAAGAAACTTTCCATTTCCGAGATCGTTCGCCGTAATCTTCTCTTCCATTCCTTCATTGATGGATGCAGTGGTCCTTCATTGAGGCCACTATGCGAAAAATGGGTTTTTCTGAAGTCTGGATTTCGATGATAATGAGATGCGTTACGTCAGTAAAGTACAAAGTCCTCATGAATGGAGAGCCAAGAGGAAATATTGTTCCGGAAAGAGGTCTACGGCAGGGAGACCCTCTGTCCCCTTTCATTTTTATTCTGTGCACGGAAGCGCTCGTTAGCCTTCTAAATCACGCAGAGAGACAGGGAAAGATAACGGGGATGCGCATCACACGTGCGTGTCCCTCGGTGTCTCATCTTCTCTTTGCTGATGATAGTCTGTTTTTCTGTAAGGCGGAACCCCGTGAATGTGAAGAAGTAATGAAAGTGGTCAGGGTATATGGTCAAGCTTCAGGACAATGCATTAATTTTGATAAGTCTTCTTTACTCTTTGGTAAAAGAATTGGACAGGTGGTGAGACAAGAGATTAAAGACACACTTGGGATCCAAAATGAAGGAGGTATGGGATCATACCTAAGAATACCGGAGGATATCAGTGGGTCCAAAGTTAAACTCTTTGCTTTCCTCAAAGATAAGCTGAGAACTAGAGTAAATGGATGGAATGGTAGATGGCTCTCTAAAGGAGGCAAAGAAGTTATGATAAAATCGATTCTACTTGCTCTTCCGACATATGTAATGTCTTGTTTTCTTCTCCCATTGGAGATCTGTGATAATTTAGCTAGTGCCATTGCACAGTTTTGGTGGAGCTCAAATCCGCCAAAAAGGGGTATCCATTGGTCGACATGGGACAAACTATGCTTACCTAAGGAAGATGGCGGAATTGGCTTCAGGATGATCCATGAGTTTAACCTCGCGCTACTAGCAAAGCAATTATGGAGATTGATGCAGAACCCGGACTCTCTGGTAGCTCGTGTACTGAGAGGCAGATATTACAGACTGAGTTCGCCCTTGAGGTCAATTAAGGCTAGCAACCCATCATATGTGTGGACAAGCATAGCGGCTGGGAGAGAGTTGCTACTTTTAGGTATCCGACAAAAAGTACACTCAGGATATGAGGTTAAAGTTTGGGAAGACCCTTGGATTCCTACTAGACCTGCGAGACCTGCAATTCCTGTCGCTTCGGTTCTACATCCAAATATGAGAGTGAGTGATTTGATTGATCAAACTACAAAAGATGGGATGACCGGCGTCTACAAGATTATGTTGCGGCGGATGATATACCGCTCATTATATGTATGGCCATTAGCTCTATGCATCGACGGGACACGTACTGCTGGAGCTATACGAGGTCTGGACAATATACAGTTAAATCTGGATACTGGGTGGCGCGAAATATTTTGTGGAAGAAAGAAGACCCTGGAGTATGTGAGCCTAGTATTACAAAGCTCCAAACACATGCTTGGAAGGTGAGAGCCCCTCAGAAGATATGTCACCTTATGTGGCAGTTGATATCAGGGCATGTAGCTGTCACGAGTATCTTAAACTACAGACATATGAGATGTGATGACCACTGTCCCCGTTGCGGGGAACCCGAGGAGACGATTAATCATGCAATTTTTGAGTGCCCACCTGCCCTGCAAGTTTGGGCTCTATCATCTACGCCTACCAATCCCGCTCTGTTCCCGGTACAAAGCGCGTACGCAAATATGGACTATCTCTTTTGGAGGAAGAATGCGATAATGGAACCAAAATTGGACAGGGACCCTTATCCTTGGCTAATTTGGTACATTTGGAAGGCTAGGAATGATAAGCTATTCAGAGGTATTGACAGGGACCCTTTGGAGCTCGCGCGATATGCAGAAAGTGAATGTCAAGCATGGTATAAAGCAAATGAGACGGAGAGATCGGTTCCCATTGGGACCGGAGGAGGAGAAGACCAGGCCTTAAGCTTGGGCAATATTTGCATGGTAGATGGATCTTGGACCTCTACAAATGTCTTCAGTGGCTGTGGATGGGTGTTGAAGGATAACAGCGGAAATAACGAGTTATTGGGGCTGTGTAACTTTGATCGAGTGGAATCGGCTTTGCACTCAGAGTTGGAAGCACTGCGGTGGGCAATGGAGAATATGCTTCAACATTCGCCATGTCAGAGCTTCGAGACTGATTGTAAGGAGATGATCGAGATGCTCAGGAATCCTCATGCATGGCCTACCTTTTCGACTGAACTGGAAAAACTGGAGACGCTGAAGACCTGCTTCCCTGACTTTAAGATTTTCTATGTTCCTAGAGCACAAAACGGCGTGTCTGATTCTTTAGCGAAGACAGCTAGGTCTTTTTTTCGTAAGATTATGTTCGTAGGTTGTTCTATTCCGGTTTGGATTCCCAGGCCATCTCAAGTTCTTTGAGTAATAGAGCAGCCGCTTGATGTCAAAAAAAAAAAAATCATAGCTTTAGTCTTTATTTTTACTAGCTGCATAACCCCCGCGCAAGCGCGGAGTCGGGGTCGGGATCCGTATTTTTTGTTGTTGTTGGTTTAGTGGGTTATTCTAATAATACCAAATAATGATGAAATGGAAAGAATGTAGCAAGAGTGCAAAGTGAAAATATTGTATATATTCCCTATATATTAATAGAGAAACATTTGAAAAATTATAACCTCAAATATGTAATAATTAAAAATCGGTCATACTGAGGTGTCAAACAATTAAAATGCTAATTAGGATGATGTGTCGGCTAGAGAATCAATTGAGAAATTGGTGAATCCATGATTTAAATGCCAGGGAATGTTACAATTACGGGATATACAATATACGGCTCATGTATGTAAACAACATATGGTTAAAAACGATAATACACTAAACTTGAGAAATTATTGTCATGTGGTGTTGTGAAAACATTACGACCGACAAATGATTTAACTCATAACAGTTTGAAAACAATACGCCATGAACAAAAATCAATACACTATGGAACTGTCGAGACATCTTAAGTTTGAAGTAATATCTTGACTTCTTAGAGCTTTCGTTTCTGATGGAAACTTTTGAGAGTTGGTAGCCTTTGTTGTAATGTTAGTAAAGTTTAACGTTTACAGAAAATTCAAAAAAGAACACGTTGGGATAAAGTTTTTTTTTATCAATTCTATAACAATACAGCATATCAACTCTATAACAATACAGCATGAATTAACTACAATGGTAAACTAATAAACTATAGTTTCTGAATAAATATAGTCACTTATTATTGGTAATGTTTTTAAAAGTCAACAGAACCAGTTCTACTATAGTATTCTGATGAGAATTTTCGAGAAAAAAGACCATTGTAGTTATCTTACTAAAGTTCTGTAAATTACGGAGATTTGAAAAAAATAAAGATGGTGGCCGGTTTATAATTTTAATTAGAACCGAACACTATTGAAATAAAACATTCGGTATGTATAGAATATAAATTGTCGTAAACCAGGATTTATACATCAAATTTGATTGTGTTATTTATGTTTAAATGATATTTTCCTTATTATATCAAATAATTAATAAATAATAATAATGTTATAATCTTATCGTCTAACTTCAAATATATTTGGCTTGATACGCAATTCAGAATGATGAGAAAATGGAAAATTATATTGAATATGTTAAAACTTTTTTTCCCCAAGGAAAGATTAAAAACATATGAGAATCACTTAAGGAAAACTAAATTGATTGCTGTTACGAAAAATTAAATAAGTTTTGCAAGGCGTTAACCTAAATAAGCAAAAACTATATAAGACGATTTGTAGCACCTTCACGATAGCATCATATTTTCAACTACCAAATAAGCCAAAAATCACGTTTATAAAAACTGAAGTATTTTCGTCTACTTTAGTTTTGTTTCTTTCGATTCCTAGAAAGGAAGCAAACCAAACAATACTCATCATTCAAAAAATCATTTTTTAAAACAACCTCAAAATTCAGATCTACAATAATTATTCTAAAGAAACTTATATATACAAGTCAGTGCCATTCATAAAACTAACCAAGTTGTTCAACCATAAC